TGAGAATTTTCAGCCTTGTCTTCAACAATATCCCGAGATAAAGGCCACCGAATTCTCTTGAATTTTCCACTTTGCCTTTATAACATTATTTCCCGGTTTGACTTCATACAATTATTCACTTTTGACTTCACGTCATTTTGAGGATTGATAATTTGTCGTCTTCTCCCTATAGGCCTAAAGAGAGGGGCCTATAACAAAAGTATTATCGTCTTTTGAAATAAAATACAAAACAGCTTATTGCAAAAATGTATATTTATGTATATTTGCATTCGCTCAGGCCGGTTAAAACGGCCAACGGAAACCGTTCACTCAGGCCGGTTAACACGACCAACGGAAACCGTTCACTCAGGCCGGTTAAAACGGCCAACGGAAACCGTTCACTCAGGCCGGTTAACACGACCAACGGAAACCGTTCACTCAGGCCGGTTAACACGACCAACGGAAACCGTTCACTCAGGCCGGTTAACACGACCAACGGAAACCGTTCACTCAGGCCGGTTAACACGACCAACGGAAACCGTTCACTCAGGCCGGTTAACACGACCAACGGAAACCGTTCACTCAGGCCGGTTAACACGACCAACGGAAACCGTTCACTCAGGCCGGTTAAAATGACGCGGATAGTTATAATTTCAGGTGAGATTCGCATAATTGATTTTCATGACTGACAGCCGTAACCGGCCAAGAATCCGGATGTTCTCAATCACTAAAACTACATCAAACACCTGGGACTTGTCGTGTTGTACTTCATGTTCACCCATGGAGGCTTCATGTTCACCCATGGAGGCTTCATGTTCACCCATGGAGGCTTCATGTTCACCCATGAAGGCTTCATGTTCATCCATGGAGGCTTCATGTTCACCCATGGAGGCTTCATGTTCACCCATGGAGGCTTCATGTTCACCCATGGAGGCTTCATGTTCACCCATGGAGGCTTCATGTTCATCCATGGAGGCTTCATGTTCACCCATGGAGGCTTCATGTTCATCCATGGAGGCTTCATGTTCATCCATGGAGGCTTCATGTTCACCCATGGAGGCTTCATGTTCACCCATGGAGGCTTCATGTTCATCCATGGAGGCTTCATGTTCACCCATGGAGGCTTCATGTTCACCCATGGAGGCTTCATGTTCATCCATGGAGGCTTCATGTTCACCCATGGAGGCTTCATGTTCACCCATGGAGGCTTCATGTTCACCCATGGAGGCTTCATGTTCACCCATGGAGGCTTCATGTTCACCCATGGAGGCTTCATGTTCATCCATGGAGGCTTCATGTTCACCCATGGAGGCTTAATGTTCACCCATGAAGGCTTAATGTTCACCCATGGAGGCTTAATGTTCACCCATGGAGGCTTCATGTTCAGCCATGGAGGCTTCATGTTCACCCATGGAGGCTTCATGTTCACCCATGGAGGCTTCATGTTCACCCATGAAGGCTTAATGTTCACCCATGGAGGCTTAATGTTCACCCATGGAGGATTCATGTTCAGCCATGGAGGCTTCATGTTCACCCATGGAGGCTTCATGTTCACCCATGGAGGCTTCATGTTCACCCATGAAGGCTTCATGTTCATCCATGGAGGCTTCATGTTCACCCATGGAGGCTTCATGTTCACCCATGGAGGCTTCATGTTCACCCATGGAGGCTTCATGTTCACCCATAGAGGCTTCATGTTCATCCATGGAGGCTTCATGTTCACCCATGGAGGCTTAATGTTCACCCATGAAGGCTTAATGTTCACCCATGGAGGCTTAATGTTCACCCATGGAGGCTTCATGTTCAGCCATGGAGGCTTCATGTTCACCCATGGAGGCTTCATGTTCACCCATGGAGGCTTCATGTTCACCCATGGAGGCTTCATGTTCACCCATGGAGGCTTCATGTTCACCCATGGAGGCTTCATGTTCATCCATGGAGGCTTCATGTTCACCCATGGAGGCTTCATGTTCAGCCATGGAGGCTTCATGTTCAGCCATGGAGGCTTCATGCTCAGCCATGGAGGCTTCATGTTCAGCCATGGAGGCTTCAAGTTCACCCCTGGAGGCTTCATGTTCAGCCATGGAGGCTTCATGTTCACCCCTGGAGGCTTCATGTTCATCCATGGAGGCTTCATGTTCAGCCATAGAGGCTTCATGTTCAGCCATGGAGGCTTCATGCTCAGCCATGGAGGCTTCATGTTCAGCCATGGAGGCTTCATGTTCACCCCTGGAGGCTTCATGTTCAGCCATGGAGGCTTCATGTTCACCCCTGGAGGCTTCATGTTCATCCATGGAGGCTTCATGTTCATCCATGGAGGCTTCATGTTCAGCCATGGAGGCTTCATGTTCATCCATGGAGGCTTCACGTTCACCCATGGAGGCTTCATGTTCACCCATGGAGGCTTCATGTTCAGCCATGGAGGCTTCATGTTCAGCCATGGAGGCTTCATGCTCAGCCATGGAGGCTTCATGTTCAGCCATGGAGGCTTCATGTTCACCCCTGGAGGCTTCATGTTCAGCCATGGAGGCTTCATGTTCACCCCTGGAGGCTTCATGTTCATCTATGGAGGCTTCATGTTCACCCCTGGAGGCTTCATGTTCATCTATGGAGGCTTCATGTTCAGCCATGGAGGCTTCATGTTCACCCCTGGAGGCTTCATGTTCAGCCATGGAGGCTTCATATTCATCCATGGAGGCTTCATCTTCACCCATGGAGCCTTCATCTTCACCCATGGAGGCTTCATGTTCACCCATGGAGGCTTCATGTTCATCCATGGAGGCTTAATGTTCACCCACGGAGGCTTCATGTTCAGTCATAAAGACTCCATGTTCACCGTTTCAGGTTTCAATACATATATTGCATTTTCTTTTAAAATGCAGTCAGATCGAATAAACAATTTCTCTCCAATTACGTGTACTGTATGATGTGAGCCGGATAGCTGTGTATAAATGTATTTATGTTTTTATTCTATTCAATTATTTTTTGTTAATCGGATTTAGCTTGTGTGTTCCACTTTCCAAAGTCGATTTATTTGCCATCCTGAATTCTGTTTTGTGGTGGCCACCCAGAACCGGATATTAATCTGATGATGTGATAAATGGCCGGATATTGTACAGTGGACTTGTACACACGCACACACACACACACACACACACACACACACACACACACACACACACACACACACACACACACACACACACACACACACACACACACACACACACACTCCAGTATTATTGTCCGTTAACGACCAAAGACTTGAGGAAGATTAACGAGGACTACAGGTTCCTGCAGGATGGACTCAACACTGCTGGATGGACTCAACTCTGCAGGATGGACTCAACACACTACAGGATGCACTCAACACACTGCTGGATGAACTCAACACTGCAGGATGGACTCAACACTGCAGGATGAACTCAACACTGCAGGATGGACTCAACACTGCAGGATGGACTCAACACACTACAGGATGCACTCAACACTGCAGGATGGACTCAACACTGCAGGATGGACTCAACACTGCAGGATGGACTCAACACTGCTGGATGGACTCAACACTGCTGGATGAACTCAACACTGCAGGATGGACTCAACACTGCAGGATGGACTCAACACACTACAGGATGCACTCAACACTGCAGGATGGACTCAACACACTACAGGATGGACTCAACACTGCTGGATGAACTCAACACTGCAGGATGGACTCAACACTCCAGGATGGACTCAACACTCCAGGATGGACTCAACACTGCAAGTCTCACCGGCCAAGTCTTAATTGCCACAAGAAAGTGTCAAGCCAGAGAGACTACATGGACGGGACACGAGGACAGGAGCTGGGATAATAGGCCTAAGTGAAGGAATGGTACCCGACCGCTTGGACCGTTGGGGATCGAACTCTGACCCGCAGAAAGGGAGATCAACGCCGTACCGACCATTCCAAGTTAATGAATTGCTAAAATTAATTACCAGTAAATTATAAGTAATGAAAATGGGGAGAGGAGGAACAAAGAGCTGGCAGAAAAGAATCACTGAATCACTCTGACAGTATCATCAATGGATGGATCAATGGATCAATGGTTGATCCATTGGGATTATTTTTTTTTATTTAAAATTATTATTCGATTAATCAACCAAGATGAACACTTTTGTGTAAACTCCGCTTGACTCTTAACACATCGTCTTGGTGCCCCACGGAACATGCCCCACGGAACATGCCCCATGGAACATGCCCCATGGAACATGCCCCACGGAACATGCCTCACGGAACATGCCCCATGGAACATGCTCCTCGGAACATGCTCCACGTAACATAACCCACGGAACATGACCCACGGAACATGCCCCATGGAACATGCTCCACGGAACATGCCCCACGGAACATGCTCCACGGAACATGCTCCACGTAACATGACCCACGGAACATGACCCACGGAACATGACAAACGGAACATGTCCCACGGAACATGGTCCATGGAACATGCTCCATGGAACATGCCCCATGGAACATGCCCCATGGAACATGCCCCACGGAACATGCCCCACGGAACATGCTCCACGTAACATGACCCACGGAACATGACCCACGGAACATGACAAACGGAACATGTCCCACGGAACATGACAAATGGAACATGACAAACGGAACATGCCCCACGGAACATGCCCCACGGAACATGCCCCACGGAACATGCCCCACGGAACATGCCCCATGGAACATGCCCCACAGAACATGCCCCACGGAACATGCTCCGTGGAACATGCCCCACGGAACATGCCCCACGGAACATGCCCCACGGAACATGCCCCACGGAACATGCCCCACGGAACATGCTCCACGGAACATGCCCCACGGAACATGCCCCACGGAACATGCTCCACGGAACATGCCCCACGGAACATGCTCCATGGAACATGCCCCACGGAACATGCCCCATGGAACATGCCCCACGGAACATGCCCCACGGAACATGCCCCACTGAACATGCCCCACGGAACATGCCCCACGGAACATGCACCACGGAACATGCCCCACGGAACATGCACCACGGAACATGCCCCACGGAACATGCCCCACGGAACATGACCCACGGAACATGCCCCACGGAACATGCCCCACGGAACATGACCCACGGAACATGCCCCACGGAACATGCCCCACGGAACATGCCCCACGGAACATGCCCCACGGAACATGCCCCACGGAACATGACCCACGGAACATGCCCCACGGAACATGCCCCACGGAACATGCCCCACGGAACATGCCCCACGGAACATGCCCCACGGAACATGCCCCACGGAACATGCCCCACGGAACATGCCCCACGGAACATGCCCCACGGAACATGCCCCACGGAACATGCCCCACGGAACATGCCCCACGGAAAATGCCCCACGGAACATGCCCCACGGAACATGCCCCACGGAACATGCCCCACGGAACATGCCCCACGGAACATGCCCCACGGAACATGCCCCACGGAACATGCCCCACGGAACATGACAAACGGAACATGCCCCACGGAACATGCCCCACGGAACATGCCCCACGGAACATGACAAACGGAACATGCCCCACGGAACTTGCCCGATGGAACATGCCCCACAGAACATGCCCCACGGAACATGCTCCGTGGAACATGCCCCACGGAACATGCCCCACGGAACATGCCCCACGGAACATGCCCCACGGAACATGCCCCACGGAACATGCCCCACGGAACATGCTCCACGGAACATGCCCCACGGAACATGCCCCACGGAACATGCTCCACGGAACATGCCCCACGGAACATGCTCCATGGAATATGCCCCACGGAACATGCCCCACGGAACATGCCCCACGGAATATGCCCCATGGAACATGCCCCACGGAACATGCCCCACAGAACATGCCCCACGGAACATGCACCACGGAACATGCCCCACGGAACATGCACCACGGAACATGCCCCACGGAACATGACCCACGGAACATGCCCCACGGAACATGCCCCACGGAACATGACCCACGGAACATGCCCCACGGAACATGCCCCACGGAACATGCCCCACGGAACATGCCCCACGGAACATGCCCCACGGAACATGCCCCACGGAACATGACCCACGGAACATGCCCCACGGAACATGACCCACGGAACATGCCCCACGGAACATGCCCCACGGAACATGCCCCACGGAACATGCCCCACGGAACATGCCCCACGGAACATGACCCACGGAACATGCCCCACGGAACATGCCCCACGGAAAATGCCCCACGGAACATGCCCCACGGAACATGCCCCACGGAACATGCCCCACGGAAAATGCCCCACGGAACATGCCCCACGGAAAATGCCCCACGGAACATGCCCCACGGAACATGCCCCACGGAAAATGCCCCACGGAACATGCCCCACGGAACATGCCCCACGGAAAATGCCCCACGGAACATGCCCCTCGGAACATGCCCCACGGAACATGCCCCACGGAACATGCACCACAGAACATGCCCCACGGAACATGCCCCGCGGAACATGCCCCACGGAACATGCCCCACGGAACATGCCCCACGGAACATGCCCCACGGAACTTGCCCCACGGAACATGCCCCACGGAACATGCCCCACGGAACATGCCCCACGGAACATGCCCCACGGAACAAGCCTGGGTGTAGGCTACTTGCCTCCCAGAAGCCATGGTCCGCGTGGGTCACGTGACCACTCTAATTAATGGCATCCGCTCAAACTTTGTTGTGTTGGAGAAGGGGGTGGCAGGGGTGTTGGGGGGAGTGGTTAGGGGGGGTTAGAGGGGGTGGGGGTTCGAAGAGGCGGGGGGGGGGGGGTTGGAGGGGTTGGTGGGATGGGCCGTAGCAGATTAGTTTAATCTTTAAGAACATAATTTACCTAGCATGCTGCTTTTTTAAGTTAGAGAAACTACAAGAAACTACAAGAAACTACAAGAAACTACAAGAAACTACAAGAAACTACAAGAAACTACAAGAAACTCTCCTTTCATTCGATGGTGAGAACTGCGATTTTTCTGCGCGTGTGTACTCGCCTAGTTGTGCTCTTTGGGGGTTGAGCTCTGGCTCTTTGGTCCCGCCTCTCAACTGTCAATCAACTGGTGTACAGGTTCCTGAGCCTACTGGGCTCTATCATATCTACACTTGAAACTGTGTATGGAGTCAGCCTCCACCACATCACTGCCTAATGCATTCCATCTGTTAACTACTCTGACACTGAAAAAGTTCTTTCTAATATCTCAAAGGCACCTCTGGATACTCAGTATCCAACTGTGTCCCCTTGTGTGTATGCCCCCTGTGTTAAAAAAAGTTGTCTTTATCTACCCTTAATTCCTCTGAGAATCTTGTATGTGGTGATCATTTCTCCCCTAACTCTTCTCTCTTCCAGTGATGTGAGATTTAGTTCCTGTAGTCTCTTGCCATAACTCATACCCGTCAGCTCGGGTACAAGTCTGGTGGTATTTCTTTGAACCTTCTACAATTTAGTTTTGTGCTTAACGAGATTCGGCAATCATGCTGGAGCTGCATACTCCCGGACTTGTCTGACATATGTTAAATACATGGTTCTAAATGATTCCTTACACTACCTTGACGCTCACTTTCTTCTGTTCATTCTCACTTCGTCTCCTCATTGAGGGGCATTCTGCTGGTGTAGGAAGTGGTCCCATGGGTGTGGCAAGTTATGAGATGGTTAACAGAGCCTTGGGTGATTCTGGAGTGAGGGGTATATGGCCAAGGGGAAGGGAGGACAAGGATGGTATGGGGTGAGGGGGGGAGGGAGGTTTGGGTAGACAAATTAATGGGGACAGAGAGGCTTAGGGTGATACAGATTTCTAGGAGTTACTCCATTCTTGAGTTGCTGACCTGCTGATGGGGGGTTCCCCACTCCCCCTCTGAAGTATTGGGTTGGAAACTGTGGTCCCCCTGGTTTTCTTCCTCCTTGTGTCTGCTACCATGATTATGTCGGACATTTTTATGTCCCTCTGTAGGAATACCTTTTAGTATCTCATTGCTCGTGACAGTTGGCTCGTCTTCGGAAGAGCTTCCTCTTTTGTGGTCTCGTGTGTCCAGACCATTCCTAGAGTCCAGACTTAGTTAAGCACAAGACAAAGTTAGAGAAGACTGCCATGCACCAGACTAGTCCCAGAACTAAGAGGTAGGATTTAGCAGAAAAGGCTACAGAAACTAAAACTCACGTCCCTGGAAGACAGAAGAGTTCGAAGAGACATGATCACCACATTCAAAATTATGAAAGGAATTGACAGGGTGGACAAAGACAAACTGTTTAATAATTAACATAGGTGGAACGCAAACAAGGGGACACAGGTGGAAACTCAGTTCCGAAATGAGCCACAGAGTCATTAGAAAGAACTTTTTCAGTGTCAGAGTAGTTAACAAATGGAATGCATTAGGCAGTGATGTGGTGGAGGCTGACTCCATACACAGTTTCAAGTGTAGATATGATAGAGCCCAGTAGGCTCAGGAACCTGTACACCTGTTGATTGACGGTTGAGAGGCGGGACCAAAGAGCCAGAGCTCAACCCCCGCAAGCACAACTAGCTGAGTAAACAAACAAGCCACCAAGAACGTGTCTGCAGGCATGGCCGCGCGTCCTTACATATGACAGCCGAGAGTAAATTAGTGCGATACCCTCCAAGATTGCTCTATCATATGATACAATATTCCTAATTAATATCCCCCAGATCTTCATTACACCCTTATTCCTCTATTATCATTCCCCCTCGCTCTGTAATTGCTCCGAGGACTTGTCAATCTCCTCCCCTCGTGAACCAATATGTGCTTACATATGTAGGGTGTATGTGTGTGTTCTCTCCTATATGTACTCACCTAGATGCTCTTGCGGGGTCGAGTGTCTGCTCCTCAGACCCGCCTTTAGGTCATTAGTAGTTCAATACATTGACTTTTTTTTTTTTGCTAGCTTACGTGAGTATGCACTTAGTTGTGTTTGCGGGGGTTGAGCTTTGGCTCTTTCGGCCCGCCTCTCAACTGTCAATCAATCAATCAAGGTTTTTTTTATTTTCACACACACACACACACACACACACACACACACACACACACACACACACACACACACACACACACACACACACACACACACACACACACACACACACACACACACACACACACACGGGACCCAGCACGTAACAGCTGTCTAATTCCCAGGTACCTATTTACAGCTAAGTAACAGGTGCATCAGGGTGAAAGAAACTCTGCCCATTTGTTTCCGCCATCGCCGGGGATCAATCCCCGGGCCATAGGACTACGAATCCAGAACGCTGTCTACTCAGCCACAGGCCCTGATGGAGTCACCTTCGACGTGAGTGTGTGTGTGTATTTAACGTTTTTTTCACATGCGTTCGTCTGGCCGCCACCTGTAAAGTTCCTGCTGCCCCAGAGCCACACACCGACGCCAAAATTATGAGAAGGATTAAGACAGAGGAGGACAGCTTGAGGCTTCAAGAAGACCTGGACAAGCTGCAGGAATGGTCGAACAAATGGCTGTTAGAGTTTAACCCAGGCAAATGTAATGTAATGAAGATAGGTGTAGGGAGCAGGAGACCAGATGCAAGGTATCACTTGGGAGATGAAATACTTCAAGAGTCAGAGAGAGAGAAAGACCTGGGGGTTGATATCACGCCAGACCTGTCCCCTGAAGCTCATATCAAGAGGATAACAGCAGCAGCATATGCCAGGTTGGCTAACATAAGAACGGCCTTTAGAAACTTGTGTAAGGAATCTTTCAGAACTTTATATACCACATATGTCAGACCAATCCTGGAGTATGCGGCACCAGCATGGAGTCCATATCTAGTCAAGCATAAGACTAAAATGGAAAAGGTTCAAAGGTTTGCCACCAGACTAGTACCCGAGCTGAGAGGTATGAGCTACGAGGAGAGACTACGGGAATTAAACCTCACTTCGTTGGAAGACAGAAGAGTTAGGGGGGACATGATCACCACATTCAAGATCCTCAAGGGAATTGACAGGGTTGATAAAGACAGGCTGTTTAACACAAGGGGCACACGCACTAGGGGACACAGCTGGAAACTGAGTGCCCAAATGAGCCACAGAGATATTAGAAAGAACTTTTTTAGTGTCAGAGTGGTTGACAAATGGAATGCATTAGGAAGTGATGTGGTGGAGGCTGACTCCATACACAGTTTCAAGTGTTGATATGATAGAGCCCAATAGGCTCAGGACTCTGTACACCTGTTGATTGACAGTTGAGAGGCGGGACCAAAGAGCCAGAGCTCAACCCCCGCAAGCACAACTAGGTGAGTACACCTGACACAACAGCCTCGGAGATGTATCACTTCAGAAGCGGGTGTGAAACATATCGGACACCACCGTACTGCAGCCCGCCTACTAAGCTAGTACCTGGAATATACCTGGAGTAGGTTCTGCGAGTGCTATTCCTAGACCGGCCTGGTGCCAGGTTTGGCTTGTGGTAGCTTGGTCCAACAGGCTGTTGCTTCCAGCGGCCCGCAGGCCTCCACCCCCTCCCCCCCTTGCACTTCCTGCAGAAACGTTGCTGATTGATATTGAACATTTCTTGGGAGGGTGTTGAACAAGTGTGGACCTCTGATGTTCAGTGTTCTCTGATCGTGCCTATGGCGCCTCTACTCCTCACTGGTCCTATTCTGCATTTCCTTCCGTATCTTTTACTCCAGTACGTTGTTATTTTGCTGGGTAAATATGGGACCCCTGACAATCCAGTAATGCCTCTCTACTTTCCTTTCTAAAGAACACATTTTAAGAGCATTGAACGATCCCAATAGTTTTGGAGTCTTATCTCGTCTATGCGTGCCGTATATGTTCTCTATATTCCCTCTAATTCTGCAATCTCTCCTGCTCTGAAGGGGGAAGTGAGTACTGAGCAGTACTCAAGACGGGACAACACAAGTGATTCGAATACTATTAGCACTGTGATGGGATCCCTGGATTTGAAGGTTCTCGTAATCCATCCTAACATTTTCATGGGAAAATTTTTCAGTTACATGCAGGAGTCGTCATCTCTGCCGTCAGTCTAGACTGTGCTGTGTACTATCGACACCTGTGACGTCAGTCTAGACTGTGTTGTGTACTGTCGACACCTGTGACGTCAGTCTAGACTGTGTTGTGTACTGTCGACACCTGTGACGTCAGTCTAGACTGTGTTGTGTACTGTCGACACCTGTGACGTCAGTCTAGACTGTGTTGTGTACTGTCGACACCTGTGACGTCAGTCTAGACTGTGTTGAGTACTGTCGACACCTGTGACGTCAGTCTAGACTGTGTTGTGTACTGTCGACACCTGTGTGTAAGAGACAGTACACTACTGTCCGTCCTCACGCTAGCTCATTCAAGAACTAACTACACGTTGAGCATTTTACAACCATTTAAATAATATATTTATGAACTGGGACGAATGACTACATCTCCAGCCTCGCTGTTTAAACCCCAGTATACTTGTCTAGACTTATTAAGGCTTATTAAGTCTTATTTTCAGCTTATAAAGGCTTATTAAGTCTTATTTTCGGCTTATAAAAGGTTATTAAGGCTTATTTATTCTTACAAAGGCGTATTAATACTTATAAAGGCTAATAAATGGTTATAAAAGCTTATTAAGACTTTTAAAGGGTTATTGAGGCATATTAAGGCTTATTAAGACTTATAAAGGGTTACTAA